ATTTTATCTACCTTAAATGAATTATTTGTTTTATTATACAGTTATGTGTAAAATAAAAACATTATATGTTAAAAATGAAAACATTTTTATTATTTAAAAAATAGTTGTTATTTAAATAAAATACTAAATTAATACTAAAATAGTTGTACAATGTTTGAATGTTTTAGAGTCCCGGTATTGTTTATTGTAATATTTCTCATCATATAACCCATTGAAGTATGCATTTCTCATGTGTTTATATCTTATTCATAGATAATTCAGCTTTTGGTTTAGTATGATTAATGTATTTATGTGATTTGTATGCATTTCACTAACATATCTAAGTGTTTCAATATCTTTCATTCGTATCCATGCGTTTCCAAAGCGTATCTGTATCCGTATCCAATTTATCCGATACAATACCCGATACCGATACTTTGATCCTTGCCTTTACAAACTTGCCATGAGAATATCTCCCTATTTACTGCTTTATTTCATAGGGAGAAGCCGATCTCCTATATTTTTCATTCAGTTTGTGTCTTTGTGACAAGTGCTTAAATACGCGTAATTGGATGTCTGTCATAGATCCAACGAAAATACAAGAGATTTACTACTTTTAAGAACAATTATATATTGATTGAGTTTTAACTTTTAATCAATTATGCTAAACAGGGTCTATTCAGTCAGTGACGGTCTTGATTCTTGACACAGCATAGTGCTACGGGGTAGATCTGCAAAGAAAGAAACCCGTGCAGCATCCAGGCCATGGGCGGCCAAAACAAGTCTGATGTGTGTATAAGGGTCATGTGTAGCCTGATGAATGACTCCACCAAGGCGAGTGGGACTAGATTATGACCTCATTGCGCATGATTGGAGCTATCTGTGGCTCTTGCCAGTCCACGGCAGGTGAGGCGCCGCTTATGTGCCAAAGGGGGAAGGCCATGATGTGAGGCAACTATGACACCAATGATGCGAGGCACATGTTGTGCCGATGATGTAAGGCAACTATTGGGCCTGTGAACACACCTATGCATTGTGGGCAATAGGTAGCTCAATTAGCTTAAACACGAGGCTGGCATGGTGAAGGGTCATGCTTGGGCCAGACCTACGTGCCAAGCCTCCCTTCAATGTGCATGGTGTAGTGCCGGTCCATGCACTGTCTCCATGAACATGTGTGTGCTCATGAGTAATGCTGGTAGCAAGGTTCAAAGTATTAACACGTATCGGCCTGTATCAACCGATACGTATCATGCCAATGGCTTCCCAATACGCCCCTCCAAGGGTTGTATTGGGTCATACCATGGTTCAGAGGGTAACCGGGACTTAAGCCAACCCCTCTGAACTGGTTTAAAAAAAATAATTAACATACCTCAGTCCTCTCTTGACTGAGGAGGGTTGTTTGGAGGTAGCCCCTTTCTTCATCATGGCATTGAAAAGTTGAAGGGCGCCCACTCTTGGTGCATGGGTACTCCGTTCTCCATCACTCTGCTCATCATCACTTAGCTTGGCAATGAGGGCATTCGGCTTTGCTCGCTTTGGGCAATTCCTGGTGAAGTGCTCCTCCCCACAAATGTAGCAAATGGGAAGACGGCTGGGTCTCCCTTGATATCTATTGTTGTAGTAGCTTTGACTTCCTTGGGGCTGCTTCCCTTTGTGGTACTCGACTGGTTTGTGGTTGAAGGGTGGCTTCTCCTTCGGGGGGACTTGGTTGTCTATCTCCCCCACTCGAATGTGGTACGCGGGCTGGCTAGTCTGGTTCCTTCGTCATCCGATAATCTCCGTTCAATAAGTTGTTCAGCCACGGCCATGGCGGAGGCAAGGTCCTGAACATTGCGTCGTTGGAGCTCGAGCTCGGCCCAAGGCTTTAGGCCATCCATGAAGTTGAACAATAAGTCCTTGTCTGACATRTCGGTGACTTCTARTGTGAGGGYTGAAAACTCTTTGACATAGTCATGGAGGGAGTCGCYGTGCTTGAGAGTCTTCATCTTGCGACGAGCGAGGTATTCYACGTTYTCTGGGTAGAACTGTCTCTTCAGCTCTCTTTTAAAGTCAGCCCAGGTACGGATAACACACGTACCACGTTCTATATCAACACACCTTCTGCGCCACCACAACATAGCGACATCAGTCAAATACATAGTAGCAGTGCGTACCTGAGTCATTTCATCAGTCACATTAGCGGCGGCAAGGTACTGTTCCATTTGCCACAGGAAGTTGTCGAGCTCTCGTGCATTGCGGGTACCCGAATAGGGAGTTGGCTCCCTAAACTTGATGTGGGAGGGAGTATGTGCAAAGGAAGTGCTAACTGGATTAGCGACGGCCCTCTTCAAGATTGCACATTCTGCTTTGAGCTCCTCTAATTGAGCTTGGGTGTCGGAGGAGGCACATGTGGTGGACTTCAGTGAGGCCTACTCCGCTCTCATTTCATCTAGTTGGGCCTAGACGGCCATTGATGTGGAGGTGTTTCTTCTCCACGTTGCCCACTCATTCTTCATCTCATCGAGCTGGGCTTGAAAACTGTCAAGCCTATCTTGGACCTACGAGTTGGAGGAGCTTGCTTCTTGTTGGCGCGCAATGCTGCAAATTTGCTTGAGCGTGCCATTGATTATGTCTCGGACCTCGTCCACAATTCCACTCAAGCGACCTTCAATCTCAACTAGTGTGTTGTCCATGGCTTCCATGTTTTGATGCAGTTCGTCTATCGAGTCTCGCATCTCACCTACGGTGGCTTCGCAACGCAGCATGCGCAATTCAACGGTTGCATGCTTGTTGGAAGATTTCTCACGTTTGCTGGTCTTCGGTTCCTTGTCCTTGCCGATTTCGTCGGTGGGCGCATCATCGGCCTCATGGGATGTAGAGAGTCCATGCTCGATCTCCTCCACGATGTCCCTATTGTGCTTCATGTTGTAACTCACGTTGCAGGTCGAATGGCTTAAAAGGAGCTTCTGCTCTAATACCAACTGTCACGGGGTAATCGTTGGGGCCCCGTGTGGCACTTGAAATGGGCGAGTAAGCCTACGCAACAAAGCAAACACACACAATAAGGCAACAAGATGGCACACGAATTAGCAAAAGGCTAYTTGTATTGCATTAWTCAGTKGTAAGYACAAGCACACAGTACAGTGTCGAGGGGATCTCGTGCTTAACCTTTACACGCTTATGAGCTCACTC